TCAAGGCCAGCCTCAGCCTCGGCGTCACGTATCCGGTTCCGTTTCTGCTCCTCGACGTCGAGAGAACGAATGCGATCTTCGAGTGCGTGGAATGCAACTTGAGATAAGAAGACCTGATATAAATGATATGAGTACCCGAAGACGCGGCACAGCCGATAACCCATACCTTGTGTTGGCCATTAACTATATCACGATCGCTAAGCGACAACGACGTCCTAGCCTGCTGCACCCTATCGCTCGGCGAGCCCCCTGTGATCCCCATCGCCACCAACGGATCCTTGTACCTCTGGCAGAACTCGTCCGGCGTCATACCCACCTCGAACACATTGACATTCCTCTTCGCGATCTCCGCGAGACCCGCGCTGCGCACCTGGCCCTTGACGGCGCGACCCTCGAGCTGATTGGGAAGCTGCGAGTCATTCGGGTTCACACAGAACACGAACCAGTTCTGAGTGTCACCCAAAGTCTCGAACAGTGTGTCGAGAGCTGCGCGGAACTCGCCGGCGACGCAGGGTGCGCCTCCACTGACACCGGTTGCGTCGTCGTCATCGCGATCCTCCTCGGCGATGGCACCGCCCTCACGCAGCGTAGGCATACGCTTAATGGTGCCTTTGCGCCTCGTAGAGGGGGCACGCATGGGCTTGACGGGCTGCTGAGCAGAGACGATAGTGTCCTCGTTCTTGGGGTGGGCTTGCGTGGCGATCGCCTTGCCCGAAAAGAGTCCCTTAACGAAGGGGTTGATGGAGCCGGAACCCTCACCACCGTCTGCAACCCCCGAGAGTGATCCCCGCAGGAGCGAAACGAAATCAGGATTCAAGGCGTCCAAGTTCCGCTCTAGGAAGCCTTCCGCAGAGTACGTCACGGGGCCGTTGAAGTGGTTGACGGTGAACGTGGGGAAGCCCGAGCGATCTATCGAGCCCATCTTGAATGACGAGTGGTTGCCCCAGCGCTTGCCGAACGCCTCCACCATTGAATGATCCGTCTTCTTGTGGGCGCGGCGTGCTTGGTCATCCATGATATGGATAAGGCCACCGGGCTTGTTCTGCAGGAGGCGGACGCACTCCGCGTTGTCGAAATAGGGCACGGTGGGCACGTAGCGCGCAATGCCTTCCGTGGCGTACTCGTCGACATGAGCCTCAAAGATGCGCTTCTGCACGAAGTTCTGGAGACGTTCGTTCGCGAAGTTAACGCAGAACTGATCGAGGGAGTTCGGGCGGCTGGACATGTTCTGTGGGCCGGGAAGGTCGAACAGGCCGATGAAAGTGTCAAAGTCCTCTCTGCAGAGGCGCTGGTTGATGTACTCGTTCAACCAGGCAAACAGGAGGGAGTAGAGCGTCTTGGCGAGGTCGTCACGGTTGTCGGAGGCGCCGTCGGGGTCAAGGAAGACCGTGCAGAGCTCCTTCTTTACCATCTTGGTCTTATAGGACATTGCAGCCTCAAGCGCAGAGGCCTGCACGCCAAGGAACTCGGCGACTACAGCGAGAACGTCTACGTTCCGCACCACAGCTGCGTCCTCGTTTCTCCCACGGTCAATAGTGAACTCCAAATTCCCTAGGTGAAGAATGGCAGCGACCAGCTGGCAAGTCTGAGCAACGTGCCGCTTGGAGAAGCCGATAGATTTCAGCGCCATCTTGAGCTGATCAAAGCGGTTAGCGTCATCGTCTCGAACGGCATCCTGGCGTGGGTTGACGGCGCCGCGTTGACCCAAGTACCGATAGGTGGTCTTGTCGAGAAGGTGAAGGTGCTGTCTCTCTTCGGGTGTAGCACCGGCGATGAGATAGTAGAAGATGTGGAAGTTCCTCTCCCCTGATGGGACGGCAGACACACGGTTACGCTCAAGATAGTAGTCAAGTGTTTTGACACCTGACAACCGGCCACGGTCGGTGAACTGCAGTTCGGTGTACTTCCCGAAGCGCGAAGCGTTCGGATTAAACAGGGTTCGTGCGTTCCCAAAGGATTCGAGCACGAATTCCGCAGCGGGAACTTGGCTGGCGAGTTTCGAACCCTTCTTGCCAGGGTTGGAAACGGAGAGCTCAAGGAGCGTCTTGATAGCTAAATGTCGGTTTTCCGACTTTCCACTGCCAGTCTCGCCGCTATAAGCCCGAATGAAGTCAGACGCGAGCAGATACTATGATATCTCTGTTACTCACCTAATCAGTATGGACTGGTCCTGAGTCGTGCGTCTCATGTGATAGTACGCATTGTGGGCAAGCTGGAAGATGTGTGGCGGGAGGGTGCTTTGTTTTCCGATGTGTCACGGTACTCCGCAGCGTATTTTTGCAGAACCGAGTCAGCGTTGGACGAAACGTATTTGTGGGGGTTGACTGCGACGAGGGTGGAGGAGCCGATTCCGGTATAAATGTTCTCTGCCATGAACCGTTCGCGAAGACATGAGACTATGATATCGTCTGATACTGGTGAGAGCGCTGAGAGGTCATTTACGGCCTCTAGCCGCTGGAGGCTCATCCCGGTGGACTGCCTGTTCATTGTGGCCCCACTGAGAGCCTATTACCCGAGCGTAGAAAAGTAGGACGAAGAGGTAGAATTAAAGGAAAGAAAAGCCCTGACAGCGGCAGAGGCAGATCGTCGTTGCTGTAGGGAAAGAGAAGGAATGAGGCGGGCGGCAGCTTACAAGGCTGAGCAGAAGAGGCAGAGGGAAAACCGAGCTATTTCCAGCAGCCTAACTTTGGCCTCGATCCTCGTTTCTTCCCACGCCGGCTTTACTATGGCAGCATCGGCATCAACCGCGGGCCAGCATGATAATCATAGAAAAATACCGTCGAGCTGGCCGAAAGCAAGCCGGTTCATTCAAACAGGCTCCAAGGCCAGCAGTTCACGATAGTGGACTCTACCGTTCCATTATAAGGTTTCATCGATGAGCCTTAGTGCGATAACTTTCTCACTTGGGCTTGCCAACGGCGAGCAGATGCCTTAGTGTGATAAGGAGCTCATATCTCACGAACATAACTACCGTCAGCGGGCTGTGGTGTAGCGCTGCCCGACTGAGATGGCAGGAAGGAATTGCTCCCTCTCTGACATCTATGTCGGACGCCAGCTCGCAGCCCAGACCAAGGAGTTGGTGATTACAGCGTAGCGTCTGTGCACGCTGTGGATGCTGTCGTCAATGGTGTCCGTGCGCATAATTCGATCCAATAAAACCCAACAGATGAGAACACAGACCGACAACTCAGTAGCTACACACGAATCTTCTTCGTGGCTGGTAGACCAACAGCGTCCTCGGGTAGGCGCTTCGCACCAGGAGTGGCCGACCAGCCATCTTCGAGTTTCATCGGCCCTTCCGAAGCCTTATCCACATCCATCCACGAAGATCTCTCCTTGCTGATCCTCCTCGGCGGCTGGAGTACACTCGGCAATCGGATCGTAGAACTATGCATGGCAGCAGCGTCGCGGATCTTCTTGCGCTCCTGCTCAGCGCGGAGGATGTTCGCTCTCGTGACGTCCCGCGCGAATGCTGGCGGCACGCCGCCGCGCGGGGCGCTCGCGTGACTCGATGGGAGCCGAGACTTCGCCTTCATCTTTCCTTTCGTCGTGCTCGGACGGAGTTGTGTAGGTGCAAGTGGGGATCGAGTAGGCGGAAGTGGGGCGGGCGAGAGGAGAACCTGGGAGGTCGATGTCTGTATGGGTGGAATCTCCGGGGCCTGTACTGGAGACCTAAGATCCTCTGGCAATAGGGATGGCGCCATCGGCTGCTGAGGAACCACCTGCACAGACGTCGCCCGGCGATCCCGTAACACCGCGAAGGTCGCCATCAGTTCTGGACAGTCCAAGCCAGCCAGGCCAAGATCGAGACTGTCGGAGCCGTCTGCTGGATTCCATCCCGAGACCAGGTCAGCACCGACACAAGTACCTTCACCGGCTATACCACCTTTGAGACGCTCAGACTGAAGACAAAACTCCACCAGTGTGAGCAGCGTGGGTGGCTGACACGGATCTTCTGGAAAAAGCGGTAGGTTTCTGTGCGGTCAAACACATTGAATACAGACGACTCACGGAGAGTATCCAGGGGAGCAAGTGTCGTCGCAGCCGGGCTGTGCGCATCAGTATCAAGTCTAGTTGTGCCTAGGATGTCAGGAGATCGCGTATCAGCCCCGTCAGAAAATGACAGAGGCGATAAGATGTTCTCGAGGGACATCGCGTTCGATCGGCGGGGAGCCAAGGGAGGAACGGGGCATCCTCCCGTGACGGTCGGCTCTAGTTTCAGGCCCTCGTAGGCCTTTGCGATGTCAAGAAGGTCGTCAAGGCTTAGTATCGGCGCGTCCGTGGAAGAATGGGATTCGTCGGAGGGTTCGTCGGAGCTTGGGTCGGAGAAAGCGGGCGTTGTCGCCTCCAGGTTGAACTCAAAGCCGGGATCATCGAAGAAGAGCATCTTGGACATACTGATCTTCGAAAGGCGAGAGCACCAACTAACTTAAGAGACGAAATCGCTGCTGCGGAGCCACAGGATCTTTGTGTTAGCCTCCAAGCATTGATAGGCCTTACATATACTCTGAGGAAGGCCAATACTCCATGGCCTTGTAGTCTAGAGGTACGATACTTGCTTTGGGTAATCACAATTGCAAGTGGCCTGGGTTCGATTCCCAGCAAGGCCCCTGACTTTTTGTTTTTATATGTGCGCTGTATCAAACTCAGAACGGCGTTACAGCGTCATGATAGTTATTGTTATTCCAATGATAAGCAATAATTTGTCGACTAGCGGCTATAGTTTTATGTGAATCACCACCAACTGCACCTAGCTAAGCATCCCTAGAGGATCAATTGACTCGACTGCTCTCGACTGATATTTGCTTGCCCTCGCAAAGTCTCCGGATATATTAGCAACGGATATCGCTAGCGCTCAGACTGTCCAACACAAATGCTCGACGGGGTTTGCCACCTGACTTGCTCCCCAGTGCCTGAGGCAGATATAAAGAAATGCCCATGGCGCTCCTCGACCCAGCAAAATGAAAACCAGGGCAAAATGCATGCAAAACAAAAGTAAGGGGCCTTGCTGGGAATCGAACCCAGGCCACTTGCAATTGTGATTACCCAAAGCAAGTATCGTACCTCTAGACTACAAGGCCATGTGGAGTGAGCTCCGCCTGGAATGTATGTACCGCCTGGAGAACTCTGCGGACGCCGAAGGCACGTTGGAGGTGTAAGTAACGGCGAGACCACGCTGTGCCCCACTCAATCCAAAAACCTTTGGCGAGGGCGGGGAGCGACTTGAAAGCGCGAGAAGACAATCTAGAATTGAAGGTCATTATCCGCATGAGGTCTTCGGGCGTGCGTTTACACACTCGACGCAGCTCCGCAGCCGCGTTCCAAGTGTTAGGGCCATGGTTGAACTGAGCATCGCCCGCGCCTGCTTTGAAAGGGTAATATGCCACAAGTGAAATCCGTCGGTCAACTGTCCGGGCTGGGGGTCAGTTTGGAACTACAGAAAAGATGAAATATTGGGTACGGTTATTACAGCCCACCTATAGTGGCACATCTTCCCGAGGGCGGTTCAGAAGGACAAAAACAACGTACTGAGTCGGGGAACCTTTGTGAGGTGGCGTCCAGGTTGATTCTGACACTCGATCCGAGCTATTTGCCAGATTTTGAACGACAACGACAATCAAGATAACTTGAAGACGGCCGAAGGCGTCCCGACCGAGTTAATGCTATGGCGGGGCCTCCTGCGCTATGGGCTCACATTCCGAGCATATTACTGCTGAATGACCGTCGTGACAGCGATGATTCTTGAAAGCGGAAACCTCGGTTCTCGTAATTCAGGAAATCATCCGGTCTTCTGTAGTCTCCCCCCTGCGTGATTTAGTATCCGTGAGCCTTACTGATATTCTCATATTGTGTTCTCGAAGATGAATGGCTGGGCGTCTGAAGCAACCTTTGAAAGACCGAAAGGGATGAGCGAGCCGTTGGGTTACGGCCACCATTTTAGTCACCGACCATTCACGGTTCGGCAATTCCCTTCTTGTCTCTGACCACCAAGAAACCTCGAGTACCAGTGCCACCACTGCGTCTATCGCAGCAGGAATCCTAGGTTTTCTCGCCACACATCGTAAACATGGTAACTCGCATTCATGTCTGAGCTCACAGAGTCCACCGCTTATCTGTATCTGCTTACTAGGCTCGTAATGAGGAGAAAGCGCAATCCATGCTCTATCGGTTTCGTGAAGCCCAAGCCGCCGAGCTTGGGCTCGGAGTGCGAGGCGATCGGCGACCAAAGATGGCCAGCGCCTGCAAGAGCTTAAGAGACTGCGAACGGTGGAGAGGCGAGATACTACGCGAGATAAGCAGGAAAGTATCAAAGATACAAGACGGTATGTACCTGTATGACCCCAACCCGCCCCCATCCTCGCGCATAGCCTGACCGCCACCATTCCAGCCGGTCTGACGGACTATGAAACCCGCGACTTGAACGACGAGATCAACAAGCTGATGCGGGAGAAGAGGCACTGGGAAAACCAGATTATCGCGCTGGGTGGTGCCAATTACCGGCGGAACGTAGCCATGCTGGATGATGACGGCAAAGAAGTGCCGGGGACAAAGGGATACAAGTGAGTACGGTTCAATTTCACCGAGGTGTCCTCCTTTACGCTCTGGACGAAGATACTTCGGTCGCGCAAAAGACCTGCCTGGTGTCCGCGAGCTCTTTCAGAGTCGGAAGAAGGAAGAGGAAGAGGAGAACCAGGCTTTGGCCTACTACAAAAAATTCATGAATCAGGGTCCAGCATATTTTGGCGACCTCGACGAAGTTGACGGGAAGTTGCTGAGTTATGAGCAGGAGGCTGAAGAGGAAGGTATGTATAAGCGCACTTATAGTTACGATGATCTATCACTGACGAGCAATTCTAGAATGGAAGGATGCATACGCGAATTTGCGAGAGACGCTAAATCTACCCGCTGACGAACCAATACCGCCAATGCCTCGAGCAGGCGGTACTTCATCGAAACCTTCCCTCGCGGGGGTCCCACCAGCCGCCTCAGCAGCCACCGCGAAGCGGAAGGCGTCAGACCAAGACGTCGACATGGCCAATGCAGAAGCAGACTCCACGGAGCCCACAAAACGATCCAAGTCCGACTCTCGACCGACAGGAAACGGCGCTGCGGGAGAGCCGACAAGTGTCTCTCACTCACAAATAGAACACGCACAGGCGGCCGCGGCGTATATACCTTTCCTCTCCCCCGAAAACCTCCTTCCGCCGCGATTACCCTCGCGCGAGGAGATGGAAGGTGTCTTGCTCAACCTTCGCAAGCAGGCGTTGGTGCAGGAGTATTTTGGTGACGAGCAGTAGAAATAGTGGGTATTCGTGTATTGCACTTGTTGCTACACGTTTCTGATTGATGCGCTCCCAGGTTTGGGAGCCGTGCTCGCGCTTTCATCTAGCACCGTGGTTTTGGGCTTGCTAGCCCGAGTTGTATTGATATCTATATATACTCGAAAATGCCAGTTCGCCCTCTTTTTGTGTTCTTGTCGTGTCCAGCAGCACGCTGCTGTATCTGATGACCGCAGAGGGTCTCTGGACTTTCGGTGGACCCCTGGTTATTCTTGTTGGTTAATTAGTCTATGCCAGTGTTACTGGCCCTAAGGGACGCCGCCATCGATCGCCAAGCTCCGTCAGCTTCAGAATGGTGAGCGCTGGTACCCTTTCAAGATTGATACTGATGCAAGGCCTTACAGCGTCTCCCAGAAATGCAGACCTCTCCTCCCCACGGTCTAGGTGGAGTCTCCCCCTTCCTCTCCGAGTCCCGCTATGGTGAGTCTAGATTTCTTACAAGCAAATCAGAAGACGCGTAACGGTAGGGCATTGAGCTCGCATAACGATTTGCTCCCGGATGGACTTCGTGAGTGTCCGTCCTGTAAGGCTTTATCATTCTGTCTATTCTCGCTACGTGTTCCTGTGCTGTGCGCAGTCAATGTCCACAATGGCGTAGAGAACAGTGCTGAATATGACACCGGCGCCCAGGTACCGACGCGCGCATGATATTTCGCTTGCATCGAGAATATTTTGACTCATGATGGATATCGCGAATTCGTGACACCCATCTGCCACATATCCATGTGTTTCGATACACGATGGGACATGTGGCGCCTGGCCACTAGAGTGCGAGACTCCTGAAAGCTCCTGGATGTGGTGTAGTAGTCGGAGAAACTCGGGGCGGGGCGGACTGGGTCATTTTCGTTGTGCGCGTTGTAAGCACGAAGCATGTGCCTCTTACTCGTCTCGGGGTTGTTATATATCCGAGCTGCTGACAACCTCGGCTATGTGGAGCTATGTAGACGCAATCTTTGGCCATTCCTTATATCGGCGAGCCACTCGAGGCGACTCATGTGCCAGTCCGTCTCACGCACCGAGACCAGCAGCTTAATCCACCACCATGCCTTGGCCAACGGACATTCACGCAGGCTCAGTCCTGGTCTTCTTCGTCACGCTGGGTTTCCTTGTCCGAGCCACAAAGTGGCGAAAGCAACACCCGACGGCGGCGCCGCTCCCTGGTCCAACCCCACTGCCCATCCTGGGAAATGTTCTAGGCATGAACGCTAAGGAGCCGTGGGTCACGTATGCAGAGTGGGGGACGGTCTATGGTGTGTCGTCTCGGTGGTGCTCAAGCTGGATATAAAATCCTGACACTGTTCTATCAACTTTGGAGGGGACATCTTCATCACGCGCCTCCTTGGAAGAGACTACGTCATCGTGAACTCAGAGGCGATCGCCACCGAGCTCTTGGACGAGCGCTCGCACAACTATTCCGACAGGCCGTTGATTGCCACTAGGCTGCCGTACGTTCTCAGGAGTCATCTTCGTACCTATCTACGTACCTGCTGATGATGTCTTCTCCTCATTTAGATTCGGCTGGGATTTCAGTTTCGTGTTCGCGCCGTACGGCCCCGAGTGGCGGGCGCGAAGACGACTGTTCCACCAAGCCTTTCGGGCTGATGCCGCGCTCGAATACCGCCCTATGCAGCTCCGCAGGTCTCGCATGCTACTGCTTGACCTCCTGGAAAGCCCCCAGAGATACGCAATGCATATTCAGAGGTATTTGCTATGTACCTGAACCTCGAAACCAGCCAAATTGTTATTACGATTTTGTTACAGGCTTACCACGTCGACAGTTATGTCGGCTGTATACGACTACGAGATGGCGTCCCACGGAGATCCCCTGGTCGCTGTTGTAGAGCGCGCGATTGACTTTGGTGTCAGGTTCCTCACAATTGAGAAGTCTGCACTGGTCGAGACCTTTCCGTTTCGTGAGTGACGTTGCTATCGCATTTTTTCCTACTACGTATTGAGAGGACCGCCAGTGTTAAGGCTGCCGACTTGGTTTCCTGGGACGTTGAAGCGGGATGCAAAAGTGTCTCGAGAGTACGCAGCGGAGATGGTTGTTAAACCCTTTCAATATGTGCTTCATCAAATGGTGGGACCAAGGGTTCCGATCGAGGGGGGGCGAGCCACATGCTGACTTGAAACAAACAGGAGGCAGGGACGGCCGCGCCGTCTATGGTTTCGAATGCTTTGGGAAAGCTCAGCGGAAAATGCGAATCTGGTCGAGCTGCGATGGATATCAAAGAGGCAGCAGGCGCTGCATTTGCCGGTACGCGCATCGTATCGTCTCCCTTCCAGCGGCCTTTATTAATACAGGTCCCAACCAGCGGCGACGGAAACGGTAAGTTGCGACTTTGGGCGACATAATATGGTATGGCTCTTGTGCTAAAAAGGCCACAGACAGCGTCAACTTTGCTTGTGTTTGTGCTTGCGATGGTCCTGAATCCGCGGGTGCAAGAGCGGGCTCAGGCAGATATTGACCGAGTTGTGAGGCGGGGGCAGGATAGTAGACTTCCTAATTTTAACGACCGGCCGTCGCTGCCTTACGTCGATGCTATCTTGCGCGAAACCCTCCGGTGGCACCCTGTCGCACCCCTCGGTACGCCCCTTGTGTGCGTCCTCCCACCCGCCTTGTGCTAATAGGTACGCATGCCAATATTCGGCAGGTGTCCCGCATGCTGCTACGGATAGCGATGTGTATAACGGGTTCTTCATACCTAAAGGTCTCTTCAATTTGTTGGCTATCTATCATG